TCTAACACAAAAGTGTTGTGCTGTTGTATTAGCTGTAAAGTGTCTCTACTGTAGGCTATTTTTATGTACAGCACTTTGGCTCGACCAAAAATCGTTTTTTAAATATATATGTAAATAAAACCTGATTTGATTTGATAGTGATTATTGGTTGTAATTTAAATTAATATGGCAAAAAAAAGAAAATATTCACCCATAATATTGATGCAAGGTGCCCCCTTAGGTGTATGTCTTTGTGCATATACATCTTCCGTTTCATTTTTGGAAGATGGGTGTGCGATTACATTTGTATTATTTGTAAAAAGTTATTTTAATTACATAAAATGTTAAGACTTCAAAAAAGTTCCCCGGGTAGTCTTTGTAAAAAAAAGATATACATATATATATATATCTCCCCACAAGAACAGGATGTTTCACCCCAAAACATATTTTAAAATGCAGTTTGTGGGGGGACTCAGTCTGTAGGGACTTGTTTCGGGAACCGAGGGGTCTTTGGTTCAATAACTAATAAAAGTCTGTCTTTCTTTAAAAAACATCAAAATGTCCTGAAATGATTGCACCACCATTATTCCCCTGTATCTATTCTTCCACCTCCCTCTCTCTATTTCCTCTTCTTAACAACTACTTTTTCTCCCTCTTGTAACAAAAGATGTCAATTCTGACCTGCCATGTCTGACTTCACATGCAAACAGTACAGCTTACATGCAGACTAAAGGTGGCATTACAGTTTTATCACCGTTGAAGCCACACACCTTGTACAAATATGTACACAACAGTGACATGTTTACCACTCTGTATGTTGTTGTTTTAGTGTCACGTCTCCCTCCCTCTCTGCCCCTCTCTCCCCTGCAGCCCCTGAGACCCTGCCGTGTCCAAATAAAGGCTGCAAACAGCACCAGCGGCGCCCTGACTGGATGTTTTCCTGTATTACCCACAGTGCTTTGCCCACTGCCCCGATCACCATTGGTGTTGCACTCTCGGCAGCTCCACTCGTGTTCCTCCTTCAGGACTCGATCGGTGTGTTCCCCTGCATGCTCAGAATAAGCCCAGAGATCTCCAATTACCCTCCTCTCACGGATTGCTCGGTGTCACTCGCCGCCTGCCGGCTGGATCTGATGTTTCTGCGCCTGCAGTGTAAAAGGATAGTTGTTCAGTTCTCCTGGCGCACACTGTGCCTGTTACAACTCAATTGGAGCAATTTTAAGACATAGCAAAGAAACTAATTGACACAATTCAAGCTCAGGGGCTTGTTCTCAGCCTCTTCAGCCCAACAGACACATTCCTTATTTTAGTTCACCTGTTAAAGCCCAGGGGGTTAAGTTTCCCTGCGTGGATCCATGGTATGCTGCAGGGGATTGTGGGATTGAGACATTTCTCCAGAGAGTTGGCAGGCACACTTCTGACTAAAGGAGAAGAGGAGATCAGAGGAGAAATGATATTCACCCCTACTTAAAGCAGATCATAATGAATTGTGTACTGATTGACGTTCTGTAATTTGTGTTCTCATGTTTAATTGCACTTATAGTAAGTTGTTTTGGATAAAAGATGCTAAATGTAATGATAAAATACAAGGCTTGATTCAGTCGGACCGCCTGAAACCAAAGACGTATCAATCGTTCCTCTGACACTTTGTGTCGAGATATCAGATTTTGAGAAACCCAGACAGCACACATCACTCATTCCTCCAAAGTGAAAATAGATTGTGCCGGAATAAGCTTCCATTTTGCGCCATGGAGAAGTCTTTCTGCTGCGGCGACTGTCCTCACATGTACTGCTACGTCCAGTGGAAAAAGAGTTGACTGTACTGAAACACGGTAGCAGTGCACCGGCTGACCTGGTATGGCTGACGCGAGGCCTCTGAGGACGAGGTTACGGGACGGGAAGGGGGAGGTTTAGCAGAAAAAAGCTGAATTACAGTAAAGGCAGGAAGAAGAAGAATGGAAACACCATCCGTCCATCTCTTCAGAATCCTATGTTCTCTTTTATTTTTAGCTCTTTTGGACCCCAGAGGTGGACTGAATGGTGATATTTGTCGCCTCCTGGGAACAGCATCCTGATGCTGTCAGGGTGTGTGAAGCAGAACTCCAGCATCAGTGATTTTGTTGCCAGGGGGAGGACTGTGCCAGCGGTAAACATATTCATAAATGTGACTGTTTGGAAGTTACATGATAAAAGAGAGGATGAATGTTACAGTGCAAATGAAAGCAGCAGCAGAAGTACTGGAGCATTTTAACAGTAGTTATAGTATAGAAGTTGTAAGAACGATGTAGTGGCAGCATTTGTGTATCTATTTCAATGAGTAAAAATCAGTGCTGGACAGTAATTAAGTACATTACCTCAATTACTGTACATAAGTAGAAGTATGAGGTACTCATACTTCTACTTATGTACTACTTTGTACTTTACTCCACTAAGACTAGGTGACAAATATGGTCATATGGTTATAACTGTGGTTGTTGGTTATAACTTGAAGATTAAGATTAATTAAACAAAATATAATCAACAAATAATTGATCAGGTATTATGTTATGTTTATAGGTTATTAAAGTGGTGACGTACTGTATATTGTTCATTAACCGTCCTGTTGTCAAATTCGACCTGGGATGTCAGGATAATAGGTGATAAATATGTGCCTGAAAAATAACACGTTTGCTCCACGAGAAAATAATTATGGTCACTTTCATTAGGTTTTGGGTTTTATTCAAATGTATAGCAGATGTGGTCAAACCGGGAGGACAACAGCCGCACAGTCGATAGGAAGACAACACTAAATGGTACGAACAACTATGACTTTCTTTACTTAATTATCTTTTAAACGAACAACAACATGTGTCATTTATTGCGTAATTCCAACAGGATATAACTCAACTGAATTGACCCTTTGCCTCCCAGCTGTATATATATAGTTAATATAACTCCCAGCTGATTTCCCAACTGCAACATTAAAGTGATGGACACATTGATGCATCAGTTATATATTCAAAAAAAAAGCTGTTGTGCAATATGAGTATGGAAGTGTCTGACCTGGTGTCAACTCTCAAAGCAGACACTCTGTAAGGGACGAGCTCCTCCTGCAGGCTTGGATGTATGGGAGAGCTGATTTTTTCCCATCGGAAGTACATTTTAAAGGCAATACTTTTGTACTTTCACTTAATACACTGTAATATTCCTACTTGTATTTAAGTAAAGGTTGTGAGTACTCTGTCCACTACTGGTACAACTTGAAATAGCTGCATCAATGAAAGCAGCAGTAATAGACGAATGTGTACAAAGAGGTATTGTTTTATACTTTATGGCAATGTATGTGTATAAACCGCATTTTTAAAGTGTATTTCCTGTGTTTTGTAATAACCTGAAGAGCTGCTGCAGTTCTCTCCTCTACCTCAGTGCTGCCTGCAGTTCTGCTTTCAGCCTCTAGAGGGAGCTAATGTTCGCTGTTGCATCTGGTAAGACCATGCACCAAAAACACTTTACTTATATGCAATTTTAATCTGATAAATGTAGTGTATGAAGAAATGTTCCTAAACACTGGATCAAGAACACATTTACGATCTTATAAAACACATTGTAACGCCACACTCCAGTGTTTACAGTAGGTAGTAGTACTTCAAGTTGAACCACCATTCATCCAACGATTAAATAAATAAAGCTGTAACAACTCAGCAAAAATAAACAGAACAGTTAATTAATCTATTACTCATTTCACTTGAGAAACGTCTTTCCTTGTGGTGTCAGCTCTGTATGTTATACTGTCATAGATTATCTTGTTTCACTTTTCATCAAGGTGAGATGTGTGTAAAAGGTGATGACTGCAGGGAAAAGGTCCTGACTGGAAATAAAGCTCATTAAAAGACAAATAAAACCTGGTTAATATAAAAAAAAATGCAGAGGAATTCTTCAATTATTGTGAATCCACAACCTGGAAACTGAAAGATATGTTTGATGTGCATTGCCAGAGTAACTGCTTTTGTGTTTGCATGAATGTAGGCATGGTAAAATAATTAAGAAGTGACAGTCACGCTTGTCTATGTCACTGTGACATCCACTGTCATGTTGTGTTGCATTAGCCCAGATAAGGTATTGATCCTTCCTGCTCGGAGCTGCTGCAGACAGGCCAGCAGCCTCCAGGGAGCTCGCTGTATATCTGAGATCTTTGTCCTTCCTCTGTCCTCACTTCCTCCCTCTTCATCACCTCCACTCACTACCTCCTCTGATCTACTCTCCTTATTTCATTTCCCCCCCTCCTCCTCTTCTCTTTTTCTGTGGATAACCTTCATCTCCTCTCTCTCCGTCCATATGTTTCTCCTGTGGTTCCCCTCAATGCCTCAGTGTCCACCGTGCAGCAAGACTAAATGAGCGGGGCTCGCACAATGCAAGGTAGGGAAAATAAATATTCTGGTGTCATGCGTGGGGAGGATGGAGAGAGTGTTGCAACGCATTTTGCAGCGTCATGATGCAGCAAATTTCGAAAGCAATGCATATCGGTTCAAACATATGTTCCTCGCTTTCTTTTTCCAGAGTTAAAATACTTCAGAGATGGAGCCACGCTGGTGATTTCATTGGACGGTTTTAATTGGCTTCCTAAAAAGAGATGCAGTGACAAAGAAATCAAGAAAAGGTATTATTTATATCTTGTTAACTTGGATGTTTGTGTCTTGTTTTTGGTGGATTAATGGATGTCTATTTGTTTACTGGCTGTTTATAATCTGTTTTTACCTTGACCCCTCCACCTGTTACACGGTCGGGTGTTAATTTACCCGAAACAGGGGAGATTAGGCTTCACGGCCTAATGATTGCATGTGTGTGTGGGTGTGTGTGTGTGACCTACAGTAGTGTGTGTCCTTTCACATCCTTAACGTCACTGCTGCTGTGAGTCAGCTCCCCTCTTCCTTTCCTGAGTCACTCATCCAGCGGTTGCTTGGTTACTGCAGAGCAGTAAAAGTTTCCTATTGCGTCTTTGTCTCCGCGGATGGATGGGCCCCGATATTTATTCAGGCTCAGGAGTGAGTGGCCAAATAATGCATGTGTTTGTGTGCACGCTGTTTCATCAGTTTTTAGTACATCCTGTTGTTAACAGACACTCGAGGGGCTGTCTGTGCACTGCAGCTGACCTCTTACATTTCCATTGGATCAGACAGAAATGGAATAGTATTCGACCGTAATAGGAGATTATTTTAAGAAAAGCTGACTTATTATTTTTGAATTAAAGTGCCAGCCAGTGTGCACCAGCTAAAAACCCAAAACCCTTTGACTAGGCCCTTTAACAGTCACTTAAAAACACGTTATTAAAAGGAAGATATATGCAACCAACATTGTAATTGGTATGACATTATACTTCTTTTGCTATATGCTTTTCAAAATGTAGGGGGAAGGCTTAAAAATGTCACTCACCAAACAGGTGGGGGACTAAATATGACCACTAAGAAACCGAAAATGATGACAAAGAAATGCAAAACAACTGCAAAGTCACACAAACTGACTCACTGCTATTAAAAGGGGAAAGCCCTACCACAAAGAGACACAAAAGGACCACAAGTAAAAACAAAATGATTACAAAAAGGGACCTTATTTCGAAAAAAATAATGGTGGTTAAAGGCAACAAACTTCGTGATTCTGTTTAAATTGTGTCTTGAGATACAAATATGATGTTTTTCAATTTAAGATTCTTTAGCAAGTTAGCAAAGTAAAGATTTGTTGTAAAAGTATTGAAGTATGAGGCTGTGGAAAATACGTAATTAGAAAAACTACCTACCCCAAAGGTTTGCAGGTGACGTCATAACTTTCTCTCTCACTGCAGTACGATGTCTGCATGTTTTGGGACTAACTCACACAAGCAGCAACAGGTCTTCGGAAGTTGCTGAAAAAAAAATGACATTACATAATTCAAACGGGATACTTTTTTAGTTTTTTGCCATTGATTACTGTTCATACTTTTAGCTGAAATAAGGTCGAATAGGGGAGACTAGAAAGGGTGGAGCTTTGTCCATCTATACAGGGAAAAATGACTATTATGGGTAGTCAAAAAACTGGCTAAAACTACAAAAATATGACCTGAGTGTTGTGCCTGTTTACAGATTGCGCGGCTACACCCTGCGTTTCAAAGTGAGTCTTTGCACGTGTTGACAGTAGAAACTCTACAGTCCACGCTTACCACAGTACGGTTAAAATCATCTAAATATAGTTAGATACACACACACACACCCAGCCATCCGTCATTATAGGATGATTAGAGTTGTTTGACAGGCCCACAAATGTTTGATTTCCTTTACTTGTTCGTAATGACATAAGAACCAATGCAAACAATAGCAGTCTGAATAAGCTGTTGTGCATTACCTTACAGGAATGAAGAGCTCCAGCTGTTCATATCCTCCGATCAGATGGTCCAGGCTGATGAAAAGCTGCAGACCATCACCTGCATCCTCGATCAGAGAGGAACCGCATCCTCTGAGTTGTGGCGGGAGAGTGACTGCAGATCCAGTCTGGGAACGTCGCCAAAACCGATCTCTACCCCTCCTCAACATCAAACTTCAACACTCACTTCCTTCGTTTCTTTTGTCCCAGATTACCCAAAGGACACCCCATGGACGAGACTAATTCTTAGCATGCAGGACATTTTCAGCTTGATCAAAAGGGATTCAAACATGCTGACCTCACAGGACTGTGTCACAATGAATCAGCTTAATAGCTTTATCATTTTCTGTGATGAAGACATACCACTTCCACGTTTTGGGGACATAACCGCGGAGGATTGTCGGACATCTAAAGGGGATACTGACTGGCATTTTAGTGATACCAACATGTTAAGTGATTTGAAAAACTTCACGGCCCATGCTTCCAACACCAAGAACTCTAACAGGAATACACATGAACTGGTTGTCAGAGACAGTTTTAATAACCTTGAAAGTCTTCTGAAGCCTTATCAAATATGCGATTCACCAGGAGAATTGCCTCGGGCGAACATGGATGTAACACGGAGGAAGAGCGTGTCCTTTCATGATGAAGTCATTGTCTTCCTGTTTGATCAGGTACTGGTTTCCTATGTGGGTGTTTGGCTTTGTTTCTCATGTAGAATATGCACTTTAAATGCTCTATTAATTCACTATTTTGATCTTAACAAAAGATATGACACTTCCATAGTTTCCTGTTTAATTTAAACTGACTTTCCACTGTTGCTGTTCTTAGGAGAGTCCCACCATGGAGCTGCACCCTGAGGCCTGCACATCTCTGCCAGATGTCACATTAGAAGACAGTGGTACTATTTAAAAGATGATACCAGTGGTTGTATCCCTAGTATTTCATATATGTAACACCTTTGACCGTAGTGGAAAGTCCCATTTACTCATTTGACTAGTAAATGAGTATACAATGTATTTTGTCCTGAAACGAGGATGTGCATCCAATATTTAAAAAATGATTTCAGGGTGAAATAGGACCAAGATGTTAGGAGGGATAATTAAAACAAACAGTTCTTCTTTCATTTTCTTTTTTATTGAAGAATTGTATTTGTTGTAACTGGTCGAAAATGAAACTGAATATATTTACTTATGGCTTATATATATTAAAAAAATATCTATAATATTAGCCATACTGAATACTTAAACTGAAATTCCTCTGACAGTGTAACAAGATCAAAGCGTGAAATTAACTTTAATGTTCGATGCTGCTGTTGATGCTGCTAGATATTGGCACTTCATCGTCACTAACTGTGTGTTTTACCTGCAGGCCTGGAGTGGGAAGACGACTTCTCAGCGTTGGAGAAGAACTGCCATTTTCAGTGTGTCACACACTCTCAGCCACACACCCTTTCCCTGCCGACACCGACCACCGCTGCTTTATCCCGGCATCTCTTTCTCTCCCAAACCTGCCTTTTCCTCACCCATGTCACCGAGGCAGACCTTGAGCCATGAGATAAAAAAGGTTAATTACACTCACACACACATTCAGTTGTACTGGTGCTGTTTTGTATGAACCAGTGGTGGTCAAACAGCCGAAAGGCCAGCTCACTGTCACCGTGGCCTAATGTGACATCCACACTTGTTTTTCTTTCAGACAGCCAGCCTTGGCCTAATGGAAAAACTGACTAATCGGGCAGATCTGGTCCTCTTCACCTTCTCCCTCCTCTTTTATGATGAGTCAGGGACTTTAATGGCTTTTCTCCCTCTCTCTGCTTGAAAGCACCTGCCGTTCGTGACATCAGAGCCACGTAGGACTGTGTGACGGTGCATTCAGCTTTCACAGTTGTTGGTGTGACAAGATTCCTGGAAATTATGGGAGAAAAAAACAGCCAGTTGGATAAAAGTCTTAGTACCTTTCCAGCTGTGGACCTCTTTGGAAGCTGCTTTTCATGCCAGGTTATGTCCTTGGACTTTATCTGTGAATAGAAACACACATTTAAATTTCAATAAACATAATTTACTAAAATTGTGTCTGAAATCTCGTTTAAGTTGTTGTTAGAATTCCAGATTAAGGAGTTTGTGTTGTTTATTTATTCAGTTTGTTGTCATGCTTGTGGAGGCCCTGTTTGCTCGCCTCATTACTAAAGTGTATTCAGCTCAGAATTTATCAGCGGCTGTGGCTGAATCAACAGAGTAAGCCTGAGGGCCAGTGAAGCCAGAAACTGAACAAACTAAAAAGTAAAAGATAATGTTTCCACAGTGGCAGCATCAGCGAGGTTTGGTTGATTAGATACAGTGTACCTGAGGAAACACACACACACACACACACACACACACACACACACACACACACACACACACACACACACACACTGAGGACTCACACACTGAAGACTCACACAGGTACAGCACGATATTGCTACTTTAACCNATTTGGATCCGATGAGATTGTGCATGAGAGACAGAGCTTTCTAACGATATCTCTGTTGACATGGTGCACACAGCGGTCGCGGTACTTTATGTTACGTTAGAAAGCTAACTTTTGGTGAATTTAGGAGAAATCTACTAACGCAAATAGACAAACTATAGTCAAATAAACACTTAAATGTGTATTTTGTACGTTTTCCTTCCAAAAGCCTGAAATAAAACATGTTATAGAATCAAAATAGCACAAAATCTCAAAATTGACCAGTGCTTGAAAAACGATGTTTTTGCCTGCCGTGTCTCGCCTTAAAAGGGAAAACATCTGGATTATTTATTAATGTTCTCTGTTTTGGCAGAAACTTAACAAACACCACGTGGATTCATTAAGACGTTTCCCTAACTCATTCATTCATCAATATTTGTACTCACCTCTCTGCTGCACCGATGCTGCATTTTCTTGTAAGGAGGCGCTTGCTAGCTGCTAGCTTACATTTAGCTTTTCCTCAGTTTGGCTCCTGAACATCATGGATTGGGTATAAAATGTATTGTAAATGTAAATGTTTAGCCTAGTTATGAACTTTAGAAATCATGATTGTAATGTATATTATTAGTTCCATTAAACTAACCTTCTCTAAGTGATGCTAAATTATGACAACAGAATATAAAAGAACAAGCTTGCTAGCTGCTAGCTAACACTTGGCTCAGTTTGGCTCCTGAACCTACAATGTAAAGTAAAAATAACTTTTTAGTAGAGTTATGATCTCTACAAATGTAAGCGACCCTACTCTTAGTAAGGCTCACCTATGACAACAGAAAGAAAAGCACATGCTCTCAAATTAAGACACTTAAATGTGGCTTAATGCATTAAATGACAGATAAATCTTAGTCTACAAAAACTAAGATTACAAAAAATTACAAAACAAATAATGTCTGAATAAGACTAAGAGACTTTAGAGAGGTGGTGGAAATCCTGACTACCACCATAGATAAACCACAATAATTAAACCAATTTTGTCATAAGAGACTACTTCTAAACAAATACTCTTATGGCAAACCACACACACTCTGTCTTTAGTTATCACAGCAGGTAAAGGACAATAATCCCAACTGCCAACATTGTTTTCAGGTCAAACAGAGTTCAGATCCCACATATGAGTGGGTAAGTGGATGATTTAAAAAAAGCTAATTGTGTTATTATGCTGTCTTCTTGTTTGTTTGGTATCTGTGTTCAGTTTACAATTCGTCTGTGGTTAAAACAGTTTGTCTGGTCAACAAAGGGATAAGTGTGGCTCTGTACATTGAGGTGTAGCCTGCAGGACTGTATTCAAATGAAGCAGCTGAAGTTGATAAGCTACAATGGAAATTACGTTAACTGCCCAGAGTTGAGGACCGGACGAGGAACCAAAGATTTAGTGTTTTTCAGTACTAACGACTCAGTAAAAAACTCAGGGCAAAAAGCATTAAGTATGTCGTCTTTATTTTAGTCCAGGCCAAATAATGTAATGTAAAATTTTTAAATATTGTACCAATGTGGTTTTAATATGATGCTACATTTGCTTGTATATATAAACACAAGTTTTAAGGAACTTGCACTTAATGATAATAATAATAATTTTATATTTCAATTTTTGGGCACAACAGTGATATAATGAGCTGATAATATTAGATCAGAGACATCCTACATACTTTACTTGTAGGCTAACATATATTATGTTTCAAGTATTGCTACTATAATGTAGACTAATTATTATATTATTTTCTTTTGGATAATTTTAGAGACTGCAGTCATTAAGACCTGATATTGTTGGCAGTATTATGACAGTGTGACAGTGACAGCAGCATGTGGGCGGGTCATAGAGTGAGTTCGCTCTCTGATTGGCTGAGCAGCGCTACGTGTACATCAGTCCGCTACAGGTAGCTCGCATGTGACAGTTATCTGCATGTGTGTGTGTGTGAGTGTGTTTATGTCTGCTGCTCTCTCCTCTCTTCACTTTATATGATGGTGCATTCAATGACCGGCTGCATGATGACGATTTCCCCTTAAACACTCAGGAGGAGGAAAGTTAGTTTAACGTGCAAGGTAAGACTTTTTTATGTATTTATTTAAGTTGTTTAAGACACTTTAATGGCTGCTGTGAATATAGTTTACTACAGTGAATGAGTTTTGTATGTTTATCTCATATCAGCAACCACAGATTAAACTTGGGTTAGGAAATTAAAGAGAGGGATGTTGATGTAGAAATGTCTCTTCCTTTATATCGTGTGCACATCTATGTAAAACAGCTTTATCTAAAAAAAATTGGCAGTTTTAATACATTAGCATATTTGATGATGTGGTTTAAAGCTTGCTTGTGAAACCCCTTTAAACTACCTTAACTACAGCAAACTTCAACCTAACTTCAGGGAGTTTCTAAATCATTGCTTTGTAAAAAAAAGAAAAGAAGTAAAACCCATGGGTTAGTTAAAGAGCATTTGAGGTGAATTATCGCGAGCTGGTTGGACTCCCTGTTCTTGTGAGTGTAACCTTGAAATGGGTATTATCACAGGAGTGTGGGGATAAGAGAGGCTAGATTAACAGAGCAACATCATGCCGTTTTCACACTGCAACAGGCTGATTAGATACAACAGGATGCTGGGCTGTTTGAGTTGGAGGGAGGTTTATTTAGCAAATGCGGATTACATGCCTGGGAAAAGACTTTAAATTAATGTTAAGATGCCTTTGTGTATTTCAACTTTTCTTACTCGTGGGTAGGTGGGGTGTAGGAGAGAGGGATGGAAATCCAAAATGTTGTGCAACCTGAATTGCCTTCTGTACTGTTGTAAATTGAAGATGTTGCAATAAAAAATGTATGATAAAAAAAAAACTGTTCTTACTCCTGTGCAATTGTGTAAAAAGTGCTCAGATATGTAAGTCAAGTAAAAGTAGCAATTGTAAAAACACTCTTAACATTTACTGCATTCAAAATCCTAAAAAAAACAAAAGTAATGGAATCAGTTTATACTTAAAGTACTGACAGTGAAAGCAATTGTTGTGGGTTGTGACTCATTTCAAATTCATATGTTAGAAACTATAATTATGGATGCATTTATGCATTAATCACCAGTGGAAAAGGTGGAGTACATTTATATTACTTTGTGTACTAATGCCAGATATAATACCCTATAATAATATGTTTATTTATTCGTTTATTTATATTCTGTATTAGATAATAATCTGAATCTGATAATGGCTATAGAGCTGAAAAATACCTGTAGTGAAGTAAAAAGGGCAATTTATTTTCTAGTAGAAAAAACTCAAATAAATACCTTTAAAAATTGTACTTAGGTACATTACTCGAGTACATGTACTTCACCACACTCCACTGCTCCTGTGTAACACTCCCATCTTCTCTTCCAGGCCTGTTGAAGCTGTTGTATATAAACTTTGTGAGAAAAAGCTGAATCAGGATGAAGTCCAAAGGGAAGGCAGTGAAACCCTCCAGGAGGACGTGGTCCAACCCTGAGCCAGATATAGAAGCAGACACAGAACCAGAACCGGGCTCCAGTGAGCAGGAGGGCTCGGAGGCTTCGGTGCGGATCGGGGGCTCCTGGAGGGGGTCTCTGAGGGGCGGGGGCCGGCGGCGGCGCAGGACCCGCGGCTCCAACACCAAGGAGCGCAGCAAGAGGCGCCTGGAGAGCAACGAGCGCGAGAGGACACGCATGCACAAACTCAACAACGCCTTCCAAGCTTTACGAGAGGCCATCCCTCACGTGAACACCGAGAAGAAGCTGTCCAAGATCGAGACTCTGACCCTGGCGAAGAACTACATCAAAGCCCTGACTACCATCGTGGTGGACATGTCGGGGGCCGGCCTGCCTGAAGGGGGGGTTTCCTCAGAGGCCAATGCCGCCAAGCTGCTCCAGTGCTACCAGAAGCACCTGGAGGATGAAGGGGAGGACGACCTCACTCAGTATCTCACCCAAATGCACAGCTTCAGCCAGCGCAGCTAACAGAGGCTGCAGACCAGAGGTGTGTGTGGTGACCTTTAGGGCCAAATATCCCTGGGACCAGAAGTGGGTCTCTGCAGGAAGTGGGTGCTGTTCTCTGACAATAAACCCAACGCTTGACCATCACAAAAGTGCCCTTCCTGCAACATAAGGAATGATTTAAGGACCATTCTAAAAAAGACTGCAGATCGTGGTTACGAAGAGTAAGAAGAGTCATGTGTTATTGAACTCAGGAACGAATCTTTCGCAATTCTGTGAACTTGTTCTCCTTTGTGTTATCTTGTGATCTTCTTGTGTGTTTTTCTGTTGAGGAACCTGCCGAGTAGCCTCTAGTCACAACTGTCAGGAAGAAAGACAAGCAGCCGGCGTGAATATTGAAACGAAGCGAGAAACTGTGTTTGCTCATGACGACAATCTAACAGTCTTCTCACAGCGTGTGCACACAGATAATATTTAAAGTGTGTGTTATTTGACTATTTGTTTGTCTCCATGTGTCTCCAAGGCAAGACATTGTAGCGAATAACATCAGGAAAAAATATTTGGGGAGTTGCTATCAATAAACACATTTATTTATTGACAGATAAGGACTGTTACTTTGACCATGCACAACACTTGAGAAATGTACTCCACAATGTCAACAGCAGGGATGTGTTGCACGTTACAGTAACACAAAGCAATGTTAGTTATTCACAGGTAAAACAGGATCTCTGTACACTTTCAACATTTCAACAAAGGCTGCATCATATTTAGACGATACATTATGATACAGAGGAATTTAGACAGCTGTTAACATAAATTAAAGCCTGAACGGATACTTATTCATGTTTTTAAATTAAAAGCTTATGTCGAAAGTAGTAACACTATTCCAGCTTACTATTTTACCATTGCAGCACTATACTAAGTACATAATATTCATATCTTACAGATTTATAACAAAAATATAGTTGTTTTTAACATTTTCTTCTCATCGCTCAGTCATTCTACTAACGACAGGAAGTAAATGCCGACATGCAAACATTCTACTAACGACAGGAAGTAAATGCCGACATGCAAACATGCTCCTGAGAAAGAGGAAGGTTCAGTTTTAGCATTTTAACCACAGAACGTATACAAGTAATCCACACTTTTCCCTTATTTATAATGCTAACCATTGCACATACTCCATGAAAACTACATTTAAATAAAGAAAATAAAAGCTTTATAAAACACCAGTTCACTGTTGGTACAAGGCAACCACCACAAGTAAATAAAGCCAGTGCATGTCTTGTTAAAGCTGCTACATACAGGCTCCAAAAGCACTGTAAATGTATAGAAGTCAATGAGAAAACCCGATCATTTCCTGTTACAATACAAAGCACATTTTTTTTACAATTAGTAAGCGCCTCAGTAGTACCAATAAAACACTAAAGCTCACAGAAAAGTGTGTGTGTGTGTGTGTGTGTGTTTGAGAGCTTGCCTTGCTTTAAAGATGTCTTAACTTCACACAGGTTCCACACACATTTGGACGCATAAACCCAGAAGTAGGCTTCAAAAGTCCTTTTTAGAAGATTCTACAGTCGTGCTTTTCTGCCATCTGTCAGCTCCTTATTTGCTCCATCCTGTTATCAGATTTCTTATGTTCCCGAGTAATCAGGCTTTAGTCTATTGGAAAGTGTGTTAACCTTTTGCCTGTAGGATAATATTAAGCATGTTTTTAATGTTGTGTTAAATAGCAGCCCAGTGGCAGACAGTTAGCAGTCAAATAGCTTTAATTAAAGTACATTCATTTCTTTTTATCATTAAAACCCTACCTTTCCAAGTTCATCTGAACCTAACATGAGGTACTCTATACAAAGAAACTACATACACATGATGAATAAATATGGACAAAATGCATTAAGACCAGCGAGTTCAATGTCAGTGAGCAAAGACAGAGAAATTCAGCTCATATGAGATTCTGAAAGTCTAAAACGGAGAACTTTCCGTGACCCTGACTGCAGGACGTGAACACTAAAGGCTGTCCTCCAGAGTTTAGAGCTGAATTAGCAGTGCTGCTACTCCAGTGTTAGAAGTAGAAGTACTTTTAAACAAAAACGACATACTAAATATTACTAGAAAGGTACTATGGTTTAGGAAGGCTCTGTACAGAGTGTGTGTGTGTGTGTGTGTGTGTGTGTGTGTGTGTGTGTGTGTGTGTGTGTGTGTGTGTGTGTGTGTGTGTGTGTCTGTCTAGCATCCCACAGCATTGCCGTTGGCCTCCGTGCTCACAGGGAAGGAGCTCTGAGAGGCCAGGCCCCCCAGAGAGGGCAGGCGGATGCGGGGCGGCTCCATGCAGTTCCCCCTCACTGTGATGTGGTCCCATCCACCCTAAAGGACCAGAACAGAGGGAGAGAAATCAGTAGCGTGCATTTGTGTTTGTTGCAAGTACACATTTTCAGTGGGCACAGAAAAGGATTTACAACACTGTGCAGCACAATACACTGTCAACATTATCCTATTATACATGTGGCTTAGTCAAGTTTTCTTTTTCTTTTCATACACAATACGGACACTTTAACATTTCATATAGTTACACTTCATTTAGCCAACGCTTTTATCCAAAGCAACTTACAATAAACCATGGAAATGTGAACTCAGAACATGAAAGTGCCTTTACTTCAATGAAGCCATATCATTGTAGGTTCTGGTTTATTAATCTCAATTAGCTAAATCCCTCACACTCAGACCCCAAACTATATTCTCCAAGATTGAGTCATTTTCTCATGTTTACCTAAAGGGCAAATACATGCTATCTTCCTGTTCATCCACGAGGGCATTGCTGGTGTATTATGTGTTTGATACATTGCAAACACATATAGAATACACCAGCATGTTGTTACTAATCAACTAAATATCAACGATGGTGAACAGATAGTGAGTTAGTGCCTCACCCCGATGCCGTAGTCCCAGGACTTTCCTTTGGGCTCCATGGGTTGGACTCCCAGCCGATGGCACACTGTCCCGCAGCTCAGACCATGGCTGCCCTGCACCTTGTCCGCTATGATCCACACCTGCCCCACAACAACAAAAATCACAAAATAAACAAATGCAAGGGTTGTTTATAACCCCAAAGTGTTATTTCTTTGTGGATTCAATTGTTGACACATACATTTTGATATATGAAAAGAATGTGTCTTGTTACTGACCTGGTCCAGAGGCCCTAGGGAGACTTTGCGTACGTTATTAGAGATGTGTTCCCAGGAGGATCCCTGAGGGTAGCTGGGGGTCACGCCCTGCCGGTACCACAGGTTACCTGCACAGGAAACACAAAAAACATCATTAGTTCTTGTTATTATTTAAATTAATGTTTGTCTAAAAGGTAAGCTCTAAATACAAATGCATTAGCCTCACCATTTTCATCTACAGTGTACACTGACGTCCTGCCGACAGACACCTGCTTCAGCTTCTGTTTGGCCGGGGAGGGGATGTGGTACCAGCTGTCTCCTGAGGAGGGAGACAAAACACAAAATATTATATTGGTAAAATCATCTTTGTTTAGATTAGATAAAGTATCTATAGAGTTTACAATATGAAATATACAGAAAAAGTTAGAAAACACTGAAGCTGACACGTTTTGTTTCATAAAATTAATGCTCGTCTAATTTTCAAGTACATCTTATATTTCAAATTAAAATGTGACAATATTCAGTTTTTTCTCTGCAGAATATCACAGCTTGTCCTCTGACCTGCAGGACTCTCTGCAGAGACAGATCCTCTGTAAAAGGCAGAGCCGTCCTTGGCGATGGCCCAGACCTGGCTGCCAGCTCCGATGGAGATGGACTTGAAAGGCTGGTCGGTTCCCACGTGGAGCCACGAGGATCCCTGAGAGACAACCGGATGATTACCTCCAAGGCACCTGTTGTTGCAGCTACACTGTATCCATTGTTCCTTATCAATAGGAACTTGACTAGAAAAATGGCCTTCTTCACTTTTGTATACAAGAAAAGAATGATGAAAGTGTCAAAAAAGAGATACACCTCCAAAGCAAGGATGGAATATGTTCTGCTGAGTAAGACATTTGAAAATATCTCTAAATGTTTCTGGGTGACTCACCAGACAGTGTTTAACCTGTTCATGGGTTGTCTGTACAGTAAGAGTGACTCACGGCAGGCGTCAGTGTGGAGACTCCCAGTCTGCAGAGCACGTCTCCCTTGTTGCTGATGGCCCACAGAGGAACCACGTCCACGCTGATCTGCGCTGCACACGGCAGGACGGTGACGTCACTCAGGGAGATGGGAGGAACCTCCTGCCAAGGTCCGGTGGTCGTCAGTTTACACTTCCTGTGCACGAGGAAAAACACAATGCTCCCTTAACTGCAATATTTAAAGATGCTGCTGGAGTATGAGGTCTAGCAAAATAATTAAATAACCATAAATAATTCAGGTGAATGTGCTTTTATAGGGCTAAAATAATCCAGTTTATTCCCATACAGCTAATTTGGTTCGTTGAAAGAATTTTAGAATTGATTGAAACAGTACGCTCTTATTTTGAAAGGTGAAACCAATAGTGTTAATAGAGTGGCGAGGTCCCTCCCCTTCCGGGGGACCTCCATGGGACCTTATTTCGGAAAAATCATGTATTGCAGTCAATGGAGACTGAGACTGCCAAGGCACACNATTGATTGAAACAGTACGCTCTTATTTTGAAAGGTGAAACCAATAGTGTTAATAGAGAGGCGAGGTCCCTCCCCTTCCGGGGGACCTCCATGGGACCTTATTTCGGAAAAATCATGTATTGAAGTCAATGGAGAGAGAAAGATTATCTTTTGATCCCGTTTGAATTGTGCAACGAATTACACATATGATGTTTGTCAATTTAAAAGATAATTTTGCAAGTCAAAAAAATAAAAATGTGTCGTAAAACTGTGAAGTAACACTTTTTTTTGTGTGAACTACATCTCCCGTCTCGCAGGACACACCAAGACGGCCGTCACGTTGGCACATTTCACTTCTTTATTTCAGAATGAGGCGGAAAGTATTAAAAGAGGTGAAAATCACTCCAAGTCTGGGCATGTTGAGAGCTGTACATACACACAAGGGGAGTTAGTCGGTTCCGTAAGAGCCAGCATGCGGGACCGGGATTCTGGGATTTGTAGTCTTTCTAGTTGCGTATTTTTCATAGTCTTGTATTTCAACAGTTTTACGACAAACTTTAACTTTTTTGACATGCAAAGAATTTTTTAAGATTGACAAACATCATATGTGTAATTCGTGGCACAATTCAAACGGGATCGAAAGATACGTTTTCTCTCCCCATTGACTTCAATACATAATTTTTCAGAAATAAGGTCCCATGGGGCGGAAGTAGATGGACGGGATTTCGCCTCTCTATATGATTGGAAGAGTGCTGATCATGTGACAATATAAAGTTCAACCCTCCCACACTGGGGCAATACATTAATTTCTGCATGTGTGTATATAGTTAGACTCTAAGCATTGTTGATGGGATTTCAATGAACAGACAAGGGACATTTTCTAACTAAAATCACTAAAAATCTATGTTTTGTTCCAAAATAAATTCAGGAGAGTGAGTTATCCAGTTAAACATTTAATAAGTATTTTTTTTTTTTATGTTAAATAATTGTTCTATTGGTCTTTCAACATCCAGCATATTCATTTTCTAAGAGTGACTTATTGTAATGCTTGGAAAGGAGTAGGATTGTAAGATCTCCATGTGTATAAGAAATATATACTGTGATTAACCTTTGTTCTACTGATTAATCATCAAATATAGTTTCCTGCGCTGAACAAAGATCAACACTTTCTCTCTGCTCTGCCTCCTCTGCTAAAGCTCTGTTGACTTAAAAAAAAAAGCCCTCGCACACAAACAACAACTGCAAATGTCAAGTGCCCTGGCCCCTCTGTGACCGCTGGCACCTGTTGCTTTTTATAGTACCTGGCCCATCGCCTGCGACGCACAAAGTCCTTCAGCGTTTTATGGCCATGATACGACCTGCATGGATGGGGAAGAGGAAAAGCAGGAAACAATAAATACATTTAAGTCATATCTGTTATGGCTGCAGAGTTTTAAAAAAAGAAAAAGCCACAGCAGGTGGATTTGAGATATGGAAACCTACGCTGGAAAATCAGCCGCATACTGCCAGCCGTCTCTGTCCGCCCCCCCCGACACACTGTAGTCCACAGACCAGTCAGACATCTGATAACAGCAAAGACAGGAAGTGAAACACCATGGAAGAACACCTCTTTATTTCTGGATACACACCGTATCCGTGATCATTTAAGACTTCATATTTATAGTTTGATTAGAATTCAATGTTGTTCAATCTGTATACCAAAAGGCTGCTTTCAGATCACCACAGGGCATTTCCTAGAGTGTGTGTGTGTGTGTGTGTGTGTGTGTGTGTGTGTGTGTGTGTGTGTGTGTGTGTGTGTGTGTGTGTGTGTGTGTGTGTG